CTCACAGAGGCTTGTGTGTGTGTCTCTGGGTGTGTGTGTGTCTCTGGCGTGTGTGTGTGTGTGTGTCTGGGCGTGTGTGTGTGTGTGTGTGTGTGGTGTGTGTGTGTATCTGGGTGTGTGTCTCTGTGTGTGTGTGTGTGTGTGTCTCTGGGTGTGTGTGTGTGTGTCTCTGGGTGTGTGTCTGTGTGTGTGTGTGCCTGGGCGTGTGTGTGTGTGGCTCTGGGTGTGTGTCTGGGTGTGTGTCTCTGGCTGTGTGTGTCTCTGGGTGTATGTGTGTGTGTCTCTGGGTGTGTGTCTGGGTCTGCGTGTGTGTGTCTGTGCGTGTGTGGAGTAAGGAAACTTGCCCACATCCTTGTTTTTGATTCACCACCACAACAACAATAAATTGGGTTTGCACAGTGCCTTTCACATCAGGAGCCTTGGGTCACTGGTACCATTTGGGATTTAACAATAAAGAGGTCTATTTTGACAAGGAAGCTTTACCTTTTTTACAGCATCTTCTCCAGATTCCCTCTTACCCCTCTCTAACCCTCTGCGCTGCCGCTCAATCATTTACCAGATACTGGTCCCCAATTAACACTCCAAACCCAGGTCCAGCTCCTGTTAACCTCTTTAATTGCCGCACCTTCTTTTGAACGAGTCACAAAAAAAACCCGACACACTCCTTTTTACACATAGATTGAGCACCAATGGCAGTGTTTATCCCACTGCGTCTCATCACACTGGAACTCTCTCCCTCTATCCCTCCCTCCTCCTCGCCCCCTCCCTCCTTCCTCATCTTCAAGTCGAGCCTGAAGACCTTCCTCTTGTTGCTGTTGTGATAAGGGCATCCCAAGGGGCTGGACAATGAAGGGTTTGAAGCTGAGCTGGTGGTGGGGGGTCAGGAAGGAGTGGAGGGCGGGGAGGGTGAAGGCTGTCCAAAGGCCCGGTCAAAGAAGAGGGTCTTGAGTCGGGGACTTGAAGGAGGCGAGGGAGGGAGGGAGGCGGAGGGACTGCGGGATGGAGTTCTAGAGGGTGGGGGCAGAGAGGCTGAAGACCTGACTGCCGATGGTGGAGCGGACAGGGACAGGGGGACATGGATCCTGTTTGATCATCGATCACAGCTGATTCCTCTCACACTGGGATCAGCCTCGTTGCTCTCCTCTGAACCATCTCTAGGCATGTTGTGTTGTGGTAACGATCCCCAAAATAACCCTGTGCGCTGGCTATCTGTTTCCTGCCTCTTTCTACCGCTCTGCTCGCTCTCCGTCTTTTCATCGGGTGAAGTGGGGGGGGGGGGATGTGGTTTCAATGACTCCGTGTTTAACACTGAGTCTCCTCACGTCAAGTGAGGAAGCGGTCTGTTGCTTTGACGGCTGCAAAACTTTATCGCTGAGGCCAACGTCATGGCAACCAATGAAGGGGGTGAAGGGGGAAGGTGTGAGGGAGAGAGAGAGACGGGAGGGGAGGGCAAAAAAAACAAAGTGATCGTGCAAACACTTTCAAGATCAGCGTTAAAAAAAAATTACGGTTTATGTTTTCGTCGCGAATTGTAGCTCAGGGGAACGAGTGAGGGTTTCCTTATCGAAAGAGGCGACAGATCGAAATCTATAATTACGAAATAAATCCAATTAACTCATCTCCATTTCACCGCATTCTCACTGGGGGTGGGGCGGGGCGGGGGGGGGGGGAAGTCCCTACCGAGAGGTATCAAACATCTCCGAGTGCTTCACAGCTAATTGTAATAATGATAATAATCCTGGCATTGGACCCGGCGCCTGATCACATCTTCGAGACGTCCTCAAAGCGCTTCACGGGACACACCGTAAAGTGTAGTGACTGCGTGCTTTGTGGGTGACACTCGGCAGCCAATGGCGCCCAGCGACGTCCCCACAAACAGCCGCGGATCTTTGTTTATCAAGAAAGGAGAAATAGTCAACAGATCCTGTTCTGGCGACTTGATTAAAAACCACAATCCCTCCACCTCTCCCCCAATCCCTCTCTTCCCGTCTTCACTTCGCACCTGGAAACCTCCCTCTTCGACTGTGCGTACGGTCACCCTCCCCACCCCTCGCTCCCCCCACCGCCTGGCTCGACGTCCCTGTTAATCTACCCCGAGACATTGCTCTGGGTGGAAAAAAGAAGCAAGTTGCGGCTAATTTATCTGACGGTTCAAGATCCCCGGTTCATCTAATCGCGTCAAGACAACAATTCACTCAGATACATATCGAGCATTTAGCTCAATTAATCACTGCATCAGCTGAATTTCTCTTTCTTTGGGGGATTGGGGGGTTTTAAAGTTTGCCTCGTTTCCTCCACACGTTCCCCGCTTGCGATAGATAATTGATACGAGGACTGCGAACGACCAGGCCACAAACTATAATAATAATAATAATAATAATCCTTGCATTTGATATAGCGCTTTTCACGTCGGGAGGACGTCCCAAAGCGTTTCACAGAACACACTGTAAAGTGAATTGACTGTATATTTGTGGGCGAACGCGGCAGCCAATTGCGCACA